CAAGGTAAGTGATTGAGGGATCCCGGAGCAGCGCCGCATGGTATTCCCGAGTGTAGCTCGGGGTTACCGCTTGTGGTACTGAAACTTTACCCCGAGCTACACTCGGGAATACCGCCAGGGGGGTTAAAATGCTGAAGTCAACCTTTCGCCTTGGGATTGGCTAGCCACGTGCAGAGACATAGCTCCTGCCTGGTGGTCAGATCCCTAGGCAATAAGTTTTGTTCTGCTTCTCACTGCCCAGACGGCGGGCAGGGGGGTATGTGGCATGTTATCTGTTATGTACCATGTACCATGTGCTGGACTTATGCATGTATTACATTATTGTACACTGGGTCTACTGTTGGACCTTTTTCTAATACTGCCTTCTATGTTTTCTTATTCTTACTGCTCCTTTATATCCTGTTTTGAAAATCTGAAATTCTTTAATAAAAACAGATTATACAAAAAAAATAAATACTGAAGTCAGATGGATAGAGTAAAATCACTTTTAAGAAGGTCAGCAATGACAGTTTCCATATTTCTATCAAAAAAGGTGTAATTTAAGAATAAGGATGATTTTTTAAGTGTTGAAAAAGAGCAAGAAGAGTCGTACACTGTAAAGTGTATAGGTGGCAATTGAGACAGAGCACTGAATGCACTCAAAATTTCAGCCTATAGCACATCAGTGGGTGCTTTACTGCTGGCAACTAAATGTGTATTTGATTAGATGATTGATGATGAGGAAATCTTTTCCTCAAGCACCTCTTAGTGCAAATTTTATTTTGAGAGCTACTATACCATTGAATTGCATCATTGGGCTTATTCAGTAAAGCACTGCAAGATCAACGTGTGATTGGTGCAAGACATGTTTTGATTGGCTGCTGCTGATTACAGAACGTTGCTTTGTACCTTATTATATAAATCCCAAAATAACTAAATGACAGCAAGTCTATTTTGGAAAAAAAATGAAAAGAAATGCAAGCTGCTTGGCTGTCTCTGACACTGAGCAAGAGGAAGTATGCAGCAAGCAGAGTCAGAACTCTTGAACTCTACATACATATCCTATATTAATGATTAATATATCACCAATGCTATTGAATCAGCGTGACAGGCAACATTTAGTAGGAAATGTTAGCAGTAGTAAACTCATATCGCTTTGAATGTACTGCAGATTTCTATAGGTAGATATCATCTCGTCATCTCATCATATTTGTGCAGCAAAGCAGAACAATAGTGCATATTAACTATCTTTTAGAGTCCATACTGGTAAATGAAGACTTTCGATTGATTGTGGGGGGAGGGCAGAATTACAATTTATTTATCCTTGTTTTTGCTAGATAATCCTCATAGTGTAAATTACAGGGCAAATGTCTTCTAGATCTGAAGCTTTTGCAACTAGAGACAAAGGGGTAGTGTTAATCATTCATGTTAAATAAAGGAATTTTGGCATTGTCTAGTCATCTGCATAGTTGCTACTACAGTATTTTCCTCTTATATCATTGCAGTGACTGAATCACTAATCATGGACCTTGGATATCTAATTCTTGATTTGTTTATCATATGTGTCATGGCGTTAAGATCTGTTAAATGCTTGCCTGCCGTCCTATAGTAGAACTACTGCTACAGGGCAGCAGGGCTGCACAAAATCATGTATATATACGTGATTTGCATTCCCAGGTAGGGGGCCAGGCATGCCACCCTACCTGCGTCACCATTGAAGGCTTGGGATGTCAATCACTGGAGATTCCCCGCAATCACCGAGTTCAGCTGACAGGGGAGACACCTCTGTGTAAACAGCACAGGTCTCTCTCCTGCTAGCAAGGACATGCTGCTTTGTATTTCTCTGCACAGCAGAGAAATACAAAGCAGTATGTCTCCTTTGTAAAAAAGCGCACAGTATACATAGTAAAACACACACACGGCACACAATTAACCCTTTGATTGCCCTAGATGTTAACCCCTTCCTGCCCAGTGTCATTAGTACAATGTCAGTGCTTTTTATTAGCACTGATCACTGTATTAGTGTCGCTGGGTATGTCAGTAGCAGTTAGTCAGTCCCACCCAGTGTCAGAATGTCTGCCACAGTCCTGCAGTCCCAGTATAAGTCGCTGCTGCCACCATTACTAGTATTAGAAATAAAAAAACAGTATCTATATACATTTTGGCCTAAATTTATGAAGAAATTTGATTTTAAAAATTTAAATTTTTTTATTGGATATGTTTTATAGAAAAAGTAAAAAATATTGTTTTTTTTTTTTTAAATTGTCTGTCTTTTTTTATTTATAGCGCAAAAAATAAAAAACGCAGATGTGATCAAATACCACCAAAAGAAAACTCTATTTGTCTGGGGAAAAAGGACAAAAATTTCATTTATGTACAATGTTGCATGACCATGCAATTGTCAGTTAAAGTAACACAGCGCCGTATCGCAAAAAATGGCCTGGCCCGGAAGAGGGGTAAATCCTCTGGAGGGCAAGTGATCATATCACATCAACCATTCTGACAATGGTGTTAACGTGAAGCACCATCTAAGGAAGAGTTAGCAAAACTCAGAACGCACTGCAACCATTAAAAACACGGGGCCTGATTTACCAAACATTATACATGTACACTAAGGATACCCATTCTTTTTATTTACAGCATTTACTATGCACCCACAATGCTCACAATATGAGCACGCACCTCACAGTACATAGAGTGAATTTAAAGTGCATGTTTACTATGGTGTGTACGCACCAGCATTCAAATGTACAGCAGCTGTGCATTGGCGCGGATAAAATGAATATCTGATTTTCTCTAATGTTTTTGCGTCTATCTGACAACTATTATGAATTTTGAATATGTATCCCGTTGCAGCAACTTTCAAAGAAAGGGATTGCAACTGTAATTTTGGTTTTCTTTTTGGGAAAAGTTTTACAGTTTGCATGTATGCTCTCTATAGACTTGATCTGCTTTGCACAGAACTGCACTACATTTTGTATCTTCAGTCCATGCGACCTAATACTACGGGTGCACTGTCCATACAGAGCAAAACAACAGGTCTGGGCTTATCCAACCACCCCTTCCCAACACCAAGTAATTGCTTTTCCTTCACTCCTATAATGTTCAGCTCCTTGAACTGAATAAAATACTCTGTGCTTCACTTAATGCATGTAACATGGCTAGACTATGCAACAGTGCCATCTAGCGCATCAAGCACCAACATTACCATATAGCCTATGGCTTGAATCAAACCATACAAAGGGTGGGTTCTCATGCTTCTGTCAACTGAACAAAGAGGGTAACTACAGTGGGGCAAAAAAGTATTAAATCAGCCACCAATTGTGCAAGTTCTCCCACTTAAAAAGATGAGAGAAGCCTGTAATTGGCATCATAGGTAGACCTCAACTATGAGAGACAAAATGAGAAAAAAAAATCCAGACAATCACATTGGCTGATTTGGAAAGAATTTATTTGCAAATTATGGTGGAAAATAAGTATTTGGTCAATATCAAAAGTTCATCTCAATACTTTGTTATATATCCTTTGTTTGCAATGACAGAGGTCAAACGTTTCCTGTAAATTTCACAAGGTTGGCACACACTGTTACTGGTATGTTGGCCCATTCCTCCATGCAGATCGCCTCTAGAGCAGTGATGTTTTGGGGCTGTTGCTGGGCAACAGGAAACGTTTGGTCTCTGTCATTGCCATCAAAGGATATCTAACAAAGTATTGAGATGAACTTTTGATATTGACCAAATACTTATTTTTTAACCATAATTTGCAAATAACTTCTTTCCAAATCAGCCAATGTGATTGTCTGGATTTTTTTTCTCATTTTGTCTCTCATAGTTGAGGTCTACCTATGATGCCAATTACAGGCCTCTCTCATCTTTTTAAGTGGGAGAACTTGCACAATTGGTGGCTGACTAAATACTTTTTTGCCCCACTGTATATACTGCTGGGTAGGGAAGGTTAAAGTGATATTAAATTATTATTTTTTATTTTAAAATAACCTGCTCTGCACAATGATTTTTCACAGAGAAGCCCTGATCCTCCTCTTCTCAGGTTCCCCTGCTGGTGCTTCTGACCCCTCCCTCCTGCCAAGTGCCCCCAGAGCAAGTAGCTTGCCAGCAGGGGTGGACTGACAACTCATGGGGCCCCCGGGCAATAGGGGATCATGGGGTCCCTGTGTCCTGGCCCACACTCAAACAAGCCTATGAAAGGTACCAGGGGCATCTCATGGGGCCCCCTACTGATCCCAGGCCCTCGGGCAGTGCCCAAGTTCCCAAATGGTCAGTCCGCCCCTGCTTGCCAGCTTGCTATGGGGGCACCCAAGCAGGCTTACTCCTAAGCCACTGCTCTGTGTGTCCATTCACACCCAGAGCTGTGTCTAGGCCACGCCCCTTTTTCTCCTATTTGGCTCACTGGCTGTGATTGACAGCAGTGGGAGCCAATAGCTGGAGCCATCACTGGATAAGTATTACGTGGGGTTGGGGGAGAAGGCTGCTGCACACAGAAGGTGTTTTACCTTCTTGCATAGAATTTATGAAGGTAAAAAACTTTGAGCCTTTAGAATCACTTTGTCCTGAGTGAGCAAATTCTCATGAAGCACTAGGGCACATGGACCGTACATACAAAATGTCATGGAAAAAGGTAAGTCTATGGCGCTAAAGAGGGGGTAATTAAGGTAAATCTGTTGCTTTGCCCTACATGGGTAAAGGACAGGTCTGCTATAAAGTGACAGGAAAGTGTAGTTCAGGACTCTACTATATTATTAATTTATTACTGGAAGAGGCTCCCACACACCTTAAGACAGCCCTAGGCACATTATTCCTGCAGAGGTTAAGAAAGGGTGATTCTACAAGGTTTCCTAGACTTGGCCAAGTGAAGAATACAGGAATGCTTTTTTGTGAGCTTATAAAATGTGACTAACAAAATGGTGACAAGATAGCAGAGGTGTGATATAAGGGGTCTCATTAACCACTTGCTAACTGCACTATAGCTGAATGACAGCTACAACACAGTTGTGGGAGGTCGTCATATGACGTCCTCTCAGAACGCACCCTCCTGCGCGCTCCCAGTGATCTCTGGCTGCCTTTTACCATGTGATCCGCTGTGTCCAATGACACAGCTGATCATGGAGTAAATACAGTTGCCGGTTATAGGCAGCACTTTCCTCACCCTGCCACAGCACTTACGATAATTGGCAACTGTCACAGAGCAGATCGGCACTGCCAAGCAGTGACACCCACCAGTGCTACCCAGTAGTGCCCAGCAGTGCCACCCCATCAGTACTCATCAGTGCCTCTCAGCAGTGCCACCCATCAGTGCTGTACAAGCAATTTGCCCATCATTGCCACCCAGCAGTGCCACCAGTGAGTGTTGTCAGACAGTGCTGCCAGTCAGCGCTGTCAGTCAGTGTCACCCATCAGTGCTGCCTATCAGTGTCCATCAGTGCCACCTATCAGTGATCATCATTGCTGCATATCAGTGCAGCATCATCAGTGCCTTCTCATCAATGCCCACCAGTGCTGTCTCATCAGTGCCACCTCATCAGTGCGGCCTATCAATGCCTATCAGTGCTGCCTATCCATGCCACATAATCAGTGCCCATCAGTGCTGCCTATCAGTGCCCATCAGTGCTGCTTATCAGTGCAGCATCATATACGCACATCAGTGAAGGAGAAAAATTACCTGTTTGCAAAATTTAATAATAATTTTTTGCTATTTAAAATAAAACATCCAGTGGCAAATAAATACCACCAAAAGAAAGCTCTATTTGTTGGAAAAAAATGATAAAAATGTCATATGGGTACAGTGTTGCATGACTGCACAATTGTTATTCAAAGTGCGATAGCACTGAAAGCTGAAAATTGGCCTGGGCACAAAAGGGGTAAAAGTGCCCGGTAGGCAAGTGGTTAATCAAACTTGTGTTGCCACTAATTCAACACTTTCAGGTGTACACTATTCAATATGCTACAGTGCCACTCCTGAAATCCTCTTTTTTCTTTTCCCTGTTCCTCACTTAGGTAGGGTTAGAGTCACCAGTTTTTAAGAGCAGTACATTATTGTTTAATGAGTATTTGCTGGTTCCTCTGCACAACGGACTCCAAATCACCTTCACCGTTTTATAGATTTGACTTATAACTTATACATGTCTATAATAATTGACAATGCTGGTGCTTGACGATTGGTTCACAAAAATGGCAACTGCTTACTGTTTTCACATTTTGTATAAATAGACTAAAACCTATTCATTCATCAATATTCATGTATTTAATAAAATACAATAGCTGAAAAAGATACTAATGAAATACATGTACATGTACATAGTATGTGACATAACTATTAAAAATGTTTTATTCAGCTTTCAGTGTCATCTACTATAAAAGGAATTGGAAACCTGTTTGTTTACTGGTTATATCAGTAGTAATTTTCCTGTCATGTGAATGATGTTTTTTTTAAAATGTTTGAACCCCTTTGGGCTTTTAAAGTAATTCCCTGAAAAAAGGGTGAAACCACAAGAGACATCTCAGGGTGATGATACATAATGAGACATAAATCACATGGGGCTGCAAGCAAGTTATACCATTCATGCTTTCTGGTCTGCCAGCAGCTGATAGCTCCTGTGCCTTTGACATAAAGAAAGGGAGGGGGAAGCCAAGTGCTGAGAAGAGTAGGAAAGGGCTGTGTAAAATGTTTTACCTTGCAGACTGAAATTTCAAGAGGCACTTGGCCGCAATATTGGCTGCTGAAGCATATCCGTTCTTATAAATCTGTACTCCTTTGCCGAAAACTGATGGCTGCATGTTGTGAAAGAGACTCTTGTCAGCAAAAAACTGCTACAGGTATAATGTTCAGGAACCCATCGTTACCGTAAATACATGCACTGGCCTTTAAAATGTTGCCTCTATGGCTGCATCTTGGGCTATTCTGACATGCAAAGCTCCCACACTTCTGGGTCTTGTCAGAGCTTGTTGCTGCCGCCTGTCCACAACACGTTCCTTTTGGCCCATCACTAAGGCGAGCTGCCAAAATGGCCAATAGAAATGTGTAGTACAGGATTGATCAACCTTTTGAAGAGCAAAGGCCCCTAAGTGATTTGGTAACTGGTCAAGGCCCACAAAGAAATGAAATGGTTGGGATGATGGGAAGGAGAGGAGGAGAAGCTGGCTTTCAGCAGTTGCGGAAGGTAAATGGAGAGGATCAGTTCCTGTATATGCAGCCCCTCTTGTCCAAATGTAAAACAGAATGTAACAGGGAAGGCTGCATGGCCCCTTGAAGAAGGGGTGGGGGGTCGCTATTGCAACCCCTGATCCTACACCAGTGGTTGGGGGTGTGTGGTAAAAAAACACATCTCAACTATGGGGTTTTACTGCCCACCAAACCACAAATGTAAAGGAGCCCTTACTGTCCTGAACTCCGTATAAGGCTGCTTTCACACTGATTCACTGCGGTTTATTTGCACCGTGAGTGCAGCACAGTGCACCTGCGACTTTCCTGCGGGTTAGTTGCACTTTGCCATAGATTTCTATTATATCTTGTGAGTGTGGTGCACTTTCTGAAAGCATACCAAAAGTCCTGCATTCAGTTTCAGGTTGAGGGCTACATCAGAGGGCTCTGAGGGCCATGGGTTGAGCACCCCTTGTGTTGGAAGTAGCCAGGGGCAGACAGAACTTATAGCAGCAGAACCCAAGTTAGCAGTAAGGTTTTATGAACACCTTATCACTTTGTCTCTACGATTGGCCTCTGGGACTTATTGCTAAACTTCCTCTTGTAGCTTGCAATGTTGGCCCCCATCAACAGATAGACTATTTTCTGCATAAAGTAAAAAAAAAAATACTTGGGTCTTGCAGATCCAGGCACTGCTCAAGTGCTGGATGCTAAAGGGTTCATTCCAGCACCTGACACTTTCCATTGACAGTCTGCTTGTATAATATACACACAGGTTATCCCCCAGTCCTGCAGTGTCCACGTCCTACTGGCTATACAGCAAGATCTAAGAGACTGGGTGTTTACGAACTGTTGAAAAGCTGACTGCTGCATGGATGTGCTTCCTGTGGCATTTATATTTAAATGTTCTTTATTATGTTTTTAACAGGAATAGTTACAGATGGGGGAACAACAAAATGAAAAGGACAGCCAAGTTCTCATTTATGCAGGTTCCAGCAAAATGTCAACAGGATAACAGATAGAACGTATCAATTTTCAAACATAGTACACAGTATCAATTTTTAAAATACTATATAGAGAAGAACCTGAGAGAACAGGAAGGGGAAAAGAAAACCATAAAAAAAGGAAGAGGGTAGGGGGAACAAGAGGGCGAACAATATACCAGTCAATGACAAAACAAATACTCCAATTTGGGTGGGCTATCATGTCCTGTGGCATTTAAACAGTAACATAGAAGACATACAGTGGGGATCGAAAGTTTGGGCACCCCAGCTAAAAATGTGTATTAATGTGCATAAAGAAGCCAAGGAAAGATGGAAAAATCTCCAAAAGGCATCAAATTACAGATTAGACATTCTTATACTATGTCAACAAAAGTTAGATTTTATTTCCATCATTTACACTTTCAAAATAACAGAAAACAAAAAAATGGCGTCTGCAAAAGTTTGGGCACCCTGCAGAGTTAATATCTTGTACTGCCCCCTTTGGCAAGTATCACAGCTTGTAAACGCTTTTTGTAGCCAGCCAAGAGTCTTTCAATTCTTGTTTGAGGTATCTTTGCCCATTCTTCCTTACAAAAGTCTTCCAGTTCTTTGAGATTTCTGGGCTGTCTGTCACGCACTGCTCTTTTAAGGTCTATCCATAGATTTTCAATTATGTTGAGGTCAGGAGATTGTGAAGGTCATGGCAAAACCTTCAGTTTACGCCTCTTGATGTAATCCCTCGTGGATTTCGAGGTGTGTTTAGGATCATTATCCATTTGTAGAAGCCATCCTCTCTTTAACTTCAGCTTTTTCACAGATGGCATCAAGTTACCATCCAAAATTTGCTGAAATTTTATTGAATCCATTTTTCCTTCTACTCGTGAGATGTTCCCTGTGCCACTGGCTGCAACACAACCCCAAAGCATGATTGATCCAACCCCATGCTTAACAGTTGGACAGAGGATATTTTCATTCAAATTCTGTGCCCCTTCTTCTCCAAACGTACCTTTGCTCATTCCGGCCAAAAAGTTCAATTTTAACCTCATCGGTCCACAGAACTTGTTTCCAAAATGCATCAGACTTGTCTGTATGGTAATTTGCAAAGTTCAAACAATGATTTTTGTGGTGAGGACGTAGAAGAGGTTTTCTTCTGATGACTCTTCCATGAAGACCATATTTGTACAAGTATCTCTTTATAGTGGAATAGTGTACCACAACTCCAGTGTCTGCCAGATCTTTGTGGAGGGATCGTGCAGTCAAACGTGGGTTTTGAATTGTTTTTCTCACAATCCTGCGAGCTGTTCTGTCTGATATTTTTCTTGGTCTTCCAGATGATGCTTTAACTTCCACTGTTCCTGATGACTGCCATTTCTTAATTACATTCCAAACAGAGGATATTGACATCTGAAAACGCTTTGCTATCTTCTTATAGCCTTCTCCAGCTTTGTGAGCGTCAACTATTTTCAGTTTCAGTTTTCTAGACAACTGCTTAGAAGAACCCATGGTGCTGATTGTTGGGGGGCAAGGTCAGATGAGTCTGGGCATTTAAAACCTTTGAGATTGACATCACCTGGTCTTCCCAGACGATGATTGAGAACAATCCATGACACTGGCAGGTCTCAGCTTGGCAAAGGGGGCAGTGCATGCTATAAATTCTGCAGGGTGCCCAAACTTTTGCAGACGCCATTTTTTTGTTTTCTGTTATTTTGAAAGTGTAAATGATGGAAATAAAATCTAACTTTTGTTGATATATTATAAGAATGTCTAATCTGTAATTTGATGCCTTTTGGAGATTTTTCCATCTTTCCTTGGCTTCTTTATGCACATTAATACACATTTTTAGCTGGGGTGCCCAAACTTTCGATCCCCACTGTATATAGCATGGAGAGGAGTCAGGTGGTGTATTGACATTTATGGACCTCTCCTTCCCCTCCAACTGGTACTTTCATAAGCATTGATTAGCAGAGGCAGCTTTCTTGTTCCCTCAGTACTGGTTTCCTTTAACATTTTATGGAGTGGCAGCAGCCATGTTGTACACTAGACCAGATCAATGTGATGTAGCTAGATCTAAATGGATTTTTGGGCTGAGTATTGAATCAGCCTACATAATGACTGTTTTTTTCATATATACTTGACAGGCACACTTTAGTTGTCTAACAAATTTGGACTCAAAGTAATCATGAAATGCATGCTTGTGCGAGAAACAGATAAACACTTTACCCTTGACAGTTTTTCTAAAACTTAACTTCTTCTCTACAGATGTGAACATAAAATGATATCAGTCACAATCAAGAGTATCCTGTTGATACAAAAAGTTTTGCTTACCCAACTCTGTGTAACATGTACCCTAATTTAGTATTCTAATAGAACAGAAAGAAGCAGCATATTCTATCATTTTTCATATAAAAAAAATACTGCCCAGAAACTGGAGAGGATAAGGACAGAGCAATAAAGAAGACTTTTAACACATGAAGGTCATAACTGACCCATTTAAAACTTGCAGTAAGCAGTATTTATGTACGA